CTCCTCCTCCTCCTCCTCCTCCTCCTCCTCCGGGGGCTGCGATATGCGAAACTGTCGCCACTGTCGAAGGGTGCTGAGTGTCCAACAGAGGAACGTCTTACCGAGTGTCAAAATACACCTCGCCATCCCTGGGGGCCGCGATCTGCGACGCTGTCGCCATCTTCGAGTGTTGTTGGGGCGGATTGTCGTTTTGCGCAGACTCGAATCAGACCTCGCCATCCCTGGTGGGCTGCGATCTGCGAAACGGTCGCCACTTTCGAAGGCTGCTGGGGGGTCCAGCGGAGCGACGTCTTACCCAGACTCAGGTTAAACCTCGCCGTCCCCGAGGGAATCGATCTTCGACAACGCCGCCCGTTTCGAGGGTTGCTGGGGGGTCCGGCGGGCTGACGTGTCAGCCAGACTCAGATTCGACCTCGCCACCCTTTTGGGGTTGTAAATGGCGCCACGTTCGAGGGGTGCTAGGCGGCCCAGCGGAGGGACGTCTTGCCCTGACTCAAATTGGACCTCGCCATGCCCTGTGGGGCTGCGATATGCGACACTGTCGCCACTGTCGAAGGCTGCTGGGGGGTTCAGCAGGGAACGCCTTACCCAGATTCAAATTAGACCGCTCCGTCCATGGAGGACTGCGATCTGCGACGCTGTCGCCACTTTCGAAGGTTGCTGGGGGGTCCAGCGGAATGACGTTTTGCCCAGACTCACAGTAGACCTGGCCATCCTTGGGCGACTGCGGTCTGCGAAGTGGTCGCCACTTTCGAAGGCTGCAGGGGGTCCAACGGAGTGACGTCCTACCCAAACTCAATCTAGACCTCGCCATCCCTGGGGAGCTGCGATCTGTGAATATGCAGCCGCTTTCGAGGGTTGCTGGGGGGCCCAGCGGAGTGACGTCTTACCTAGACGCAAATTAGAGTTCGCCATCCCGGGGGGGGATCTGTGAATCTGCAGCCGCTTTCGAGTTGCTGGGGGGTCCAGCGGAGTGACGCCTGACTCAGATTCAGATGAGACCTCGCCATTCATCGGGGGGGCGATATGTGATATGTGAAACTGTCGCCAGTTTCGAAGGCTGCTGTGAGGTCCAGCGGAAGGACGTTTTACGCGGACCGCCTGGAGATCTCGCCATCCCTGGGGCGCTGCAAAGCTAGCGGGCGAGCTAGGCCTTGCTCGCTTCGTGCATTCACTGTAAGCAAATGAACCAACGTTTCAAGCGCCCGCGGCGACATGGCGCAGGCAACGCTGCAGCTGTACCGTACCACCTCCTCCCGTCTATGTCGTCGTCGTCCTCTGCCCTCTGCCACCTTCCCTCTGCTGCTGCCGCGCTGACGGTTTGGCCTCCAACGGGTCCTTGTCCTGCCCTTCGTTCCCGCCCCCATGTCCTCCTCAAGCCTGGGCCCTCGTTCCTCGACCTTCTGTTGTTGTCCTGTGAAACGTGCCACGTGAGCGCAACCCGTCTAGTTTGCCCAACCTGTAACAGCGCCTGCACGGTCATTGTCCTGGCAAGTTTGGGTCAGATCCTCTTGCCACCTGGTGCAAATGAGTTGGGTACGTCACAGGGTAAGTCCCCCTCTCTCTCTCGTGTCTGCTCTCTCCCTCGTGTCTGCTCTCTCTCTATCTCTCTCTCTCTCTCAATCTCTCCTTCTCTCTCTCTCTCTCTCTCTCTCTCTCGGATTCAGTACGACGCTCATATTGCCGATAAACATGCAAGCGCGAAAGCTGGAAGAGCTTGTCTCACGAAAACCATGCCTGACGGCGTCCTGGGACAGATGACCATCATCGCCTGCTACGCTGGGCATCATCGGGCCAACGCCAAAAATGTCACCTCTGAAAAACTGCTTCCAAAACATAAAAACGCACTGTGGGAAGACACCCGCGTCATTCTCGCTCACGTTGGCCCACCCGTTAGGGAATGCTAGGAACAAAGCGGTCGATACGCCTTTGAACGTGTGGTGAATATAATACCCCGCGACTGCAACATGACATTGGCATACGTAATGGGATGGGGTCCTAAGGGGAACAGGTGCTGGACCACGAGCATTCCCTTCCCCCCGTGATCGGATGTTCATCCCGAGATCGTTTTGAGTGTCGCGGGTCCGAGAAGCCGAAACGATGAAAAATCTCAGACACCCCTTCTCTCAGAAACCCCTTCCTTCATAGCGAACAGATCACCATCAGGGAAAGGTCCTGCGCGACCACTGGCGTAGTGACGCCCCGCAGAGCCGCTGGTCGGCAGGCGCGCACAACAGTGCGGAGCATCGCCGCAGCTGTTCCTTCTCGTCGGCTGGACTATGCTCCAACAGGGCTGTTGACGGCTCGAGCCAAGATCAATGCACGCCATCGACAGATGGCGGGGTTGTGCATGCAATTGCTAGCTAGCTGCATGAACATGAACCTGGACTGATCATGTAGTGAAACTATCGGGGTAGGTCCGCAAAGCAAGGCCACAACCAGTTCGCTTACGCGTTCACGATTGGCCTGCGAGCAATGCTGGACCAATGTGGACCCATGGCATGCCCCAATGCAAGACTGAAGTTGCCCTCAAGACCCAGCACGGATTCTTCGACACCAAAGAGAGAGATTCTGGGATCCCCCAATGAAGATCCCCAGGGCTTGGGGGGCTTGGGGGGATTTAGGGGGGTCAGGGCTCGGGAAAGGGGGGGGGGGGCGCGGGGGTTCGACTTCACAGTCACGCGTCCGGGGGGGGACGCGACGCGCGCTCCTCTGCCGTCTCGGCTCACGGTGCGCACATCCGATACGTTGACGCATACACCTATGCGTCCTACTTGAGAGGGAAAGGACGGATCATCATGATCTTCACCCCGTATATTCTTGTTTCACACTTCCAAAGAACAAGGCAGCAATGTACCATGTGACGTTACTGCGTCGTTTGCGACTTGCTTGCGGAGCTGGCCACACTCTCGTGTGATCGGCTCGTATCTTTGGTCTTATGCTACTATTCGTTGGGAGAAGCAACGTGTCCGTTGACACTCCATCCGCGACATCGTGGATCTAGTCGAGATGAGCTTGGAAACAAGCTCGAACTACCAGAGCGGGTGCGAGAAGTCCAACATACTTAAAAAATGGTCAAGTACTTGGGACCTAAGAAGAAGAAATGTACTACCATTCCAAACTACTCAAGCACGGATACATGCCGCACGAGAACGTGCCGAGCTTCCAGCTGACACCGGTGCTACGGGGTGCACTGGCGGAAACACTGACAGCAGTGGTCCTGGCTGTGCTGGCGAAAATGCTGGCGACGGTGACCCGCACTGTTCTGTCGCGGGTGCACGCGTCGGTGGACCGTACAGTGCTGGCGAGGAAGCTCTGTCGGGGAAACTCCCCCTAACCCCTCCCAAAATCCACCCTGAAATGGATTTGTCGTAGAATCCAATGGGGGAAACCATCTAACTCGTCCAAGACCCCCCTCAATGGGGTGTGGAAGGGGTCAGGCGGAAAAACCGATTGACCTCTCTCCACAAAGAATATAATGGTGGTTCGGGGGAGGCTCTGGTGGGGGAAACCCTCCTGCTCCCCAAAAACCTTTCCTGATAGTGAGTTTGGGTGGAGTCTGGGGACGGACCCACACTACCATTCACCCCCCAAACAAACCTGAGAGCAGTTTTGCAAGGTATCTAAAGGGAATAACCGGTGCCTGAGGGATCCTGGGGCCTGAAACCGCCCAGGAAGGTCTGCCGAATTCCGAAGAGAAAGTTTGAGCGTCCGTCCGTCCTTCAGGAATCCTAAAGCAGTCCGCGGTTCAAGGTCCATAGGAGACGCTGACGCCAATGGCGTCGGCGACAACCCACAGGGCCACGAGTGGGTTCGCGCGCTTGACTTTGCTGGCGCCTCTGGAACTGAAGCCGGACTGGGTTCCCCCTGGATCGAATGGCGCGCGGGCGCGCTTGGGAGAGAAACTGCTGGCCTGCCCCAGGCGCGCGCCACGAACGCTGGCGAGCAAGCATGCGCGAAATGCCTCGTCCGAGTCCGCATCTAGATCCGCACTCCTCACTCAGTCTCGTGCATCCTCCTCCTACTCCTCCTGCTCCTCATCAGCATCAGCATTATCATCAACAACATCATCATCACCATCATCATCAACATCATACTCCTCCTCCTGCTCCTCCTCCTCCTCCTGCTCCTCCTCATCATCATCATCATCAGCAGCAGCATCATCGGTTCCATTAATTCAATCAGCATCATCAGCATCACCATCATAATCACTAGCATCGGTCCCAGCATCATCATCATCATCATCATCACCACCACCACCATCATCATCATCATCATCACCATCACCATCACAATCACCATCACCATCATCATCAGCATCAGCATCATCAGCATCAGCATCAGCATCAACATCAACATCACCATCACCATCATCATCACCATCACCATCATCATCAGCAGCAGCATCATCATAATCATCAGCGTCATCAGCGTCAGCAGTATCACACATCATCATCATCATCATCATCATCATCATCATCATCATCATCATCATCATCATCATCAGTATCATCATCATCATCATCATCACCATCACCACTATCAGCATCATCATCAGCATCAACATCACCCATCATCATCGCCATCACCATCACCATCATCATCAGCAGCAGCATCATCATAATCATCAGGATCATCAGCATCAGCATTATCACACATCATCATCATCATCATCATCATCATCATCATCATGAACACCCTGGTCAGCACCGTCAGTACCAAAATCAGCGGTATCAGCATCATCATCACCACCATCATCAACGGCATTAGCATCATCATCACCATCGATATCATCAGCATCGTCGCCATCATCATCACTATAATCAGAAGCATCATCATCATCAGCAGCAGCATCATCATAACAATCACAAGCATCATCACCATCACCATCACCATCCTCAGCATCATCAACAGCAGCATCATCATTAGCATCTTTATCCGCATCATGGTCCTCAGCATGATCACACATCATCATCATCATCATCATCATCAGCATCATCATCATCAACAACAACAGCATCACCATCATCATCTTCATCATCGTCGTGAGCATCATAATCAGCCACATCAGTCGCATCATCATCAGCAGCACCATCACCGTTAGCATCATCATCAGCGTAATCGTCATCATCAGCAGCAACATCATCCGCATCAACATGCTAAATGGCATAACCATCAGCATCATCATCATCAGCATCAACATCAGCAGAAGCCTTATCATCGTCGTCATTATCAGCAGCAGCATAACCATCATCGTCAGCACCATCGTCATCATCCTCTTCCTCCTCGACATTCTCAGCATCCTCCTCATCCGGTTCCTCCTCATCATCATGAGCCACAGCATCCGGATCATCAGCATGCTCAGCATACATCATCATCATCATCATCATCATCATCATCATCATCATCATCATCATCATCATCACCCTCAGCAGCAGCTGCATCATCATCATCAACAACAGCATCATCAGCAGCCTCAACCTCATCATCACCACCACCACCATCATCATCAGCAACCTCGTCATCAGAATCATCATCGTATGCATCATCCTCATCATCTTCAACAACCTCCTCCTCCTCCTCGTCATCAGCATCGTCATCAGCATCATCAGTATCATCAGCATCGGCATCATCATCATCATCCTCATCACCATCATGATCGCCATCGTCATCATCAACAGCAGCATCACCAGCAGCATCGTTGTCGTCGTCATCAACATCACCATCAGCACCATCATCAGCATCAGCATCAGCATCACCATTACCATAACCATCGCCAGCACAATCCTCATCATCAGCAGCAGCATCAGCAGCACCAGCATCAGCAGCACCAGCATCAGCATCACCATCATCATATGTATCTTCATCACCATCATCATTCACATACCTTATCATCAGCGTCATCAGCAGCAGCATCATCATCACCGTCATCGTCGTCATCATCATGACCATCTTCTTGATCAGCATCACCATCCTAATCACCACCACCATCACCATCACCATCCTCACCATTAGCAGCATCAACATCGTCATCATCACAAGCATCATCATCATAATTAGAACTGGAATCATCATCATCGTCGTGGACATGGTCACCAGAACAATGTAGCACCCTCTTCATCATCAGCGTCGTCGTCATTCCCGCCATCATCACAATCATCATTCACGTCCTCCTCTTCCTCCTCGCTGTTCGCTGTTCGCCGCTCGCTGCTGCTCCTGATTGGCGGCAGTCAAACACGAGCCACCCTCTGATCATGCCGAGCAACGCGTGATAGTGTAGCGCAGCGGCCCGACACAGTCGGCGGCGGCGAACCTGGGGCCCAGACACACGGCGGGCCGCAGCTAGGCCGCCTAGCTTGGCCAGCGCGGCGCTGGTCGCCTGCGCGTGCTCTAGGCCGAACGCGCAGCGCAGCTGGCGGGCGCAAGCGGCGCACAGCAACACGTAGAGTTCAGCGCCCGAAAGCTGGGCAAGCGCCCCCGCCGCAGCCTCAGAGACGGCATCGTCGCCGTGCTGTTGCGCGAGGTCTCGCACGCGCTGCAAGGTGTGATTGAGCGCTGTAAGACCGCTCATGCCTCCGGTCTATGGCGCCGAGGGAGGACCAGCAACGTGGTGCGGTCCTCTGGGTAGCGCTGGCGTTCATCAGCCTCGGCGTCGCGGTTGACAGCACCGTCCCGCGCTGCCGATGCGCCCAGCGCGCGCGCCTCGCCAGGCTCGCCACGGCGAAAGAAGACGTCGGCGAGGGGCCGAGGGCACCCGTCCCGTGCGGTTGACAGCACCGTCCCGCGCTGCCGATGCGCCCAGCGCGCGCGCCTCGCCAGGCTCGCCACGGCGAAAGAAGACGTCGGCGAGGGGCCGAGGGCACCCGTCCCGTTGCCTCGAGAATGCCCTCCTCGCGCCGCGAAGCGAAGGCAGCCCAGCGGGCGCCGCAAGGCCCAGCTGGCGGGGGGGGAAAGCGCAGCACCGTGCGTCGCAGCGGGGCGCAGTGCAGCATTAGCGCCGTCAGTCACTAGCGGGGACGCGCAAAGGCCGTCTCTCGGCGTGGTAACCGCACTCTGCATGGTAACCGCGCCTCTCGCAGAGACACAGCGGTGGGTGCGCTGCGCCTTGTTGCAAAGAGGCCTGTGGCAGCGCTGGCCAGCACGCGGCCCCGAGCGGGTTCCCAGACAGCGCGATGTCGCGGCTGAGGAACACATTGCCCTGTCGCAGGAGGCCTCCCACGGCCCGCCGCATGCCGGTCGCCGCAGAAGCGCAGCAGCGCCCGCGCCCCCGAGGTCCTCAAGCGCTCATCAAAGCTTCGCGACTTTGGCTCCGCTTTCGCGCGATTGTGCTCTGGAGAATGTCCACAGATTCCGGCGCGAACTCCTGCCAGGGCGGCAGCGGCTCCGCGGGGTTGGCTTCCGCGGCCCGCCCCGCCAGCAGCGCGGCAAGGGCGCCCTGGCAGGCAGCGGTAAGTGGCAGGGCGAAGGCCTCCAGGTCCAGCAGCTCCTGCACGGAAATCTTTCCGGCTCTGCACGGCGGCAAGGCTCTGCGCCCACGACGCCACCCGAGTGGCATCGGCGAACTGGGCCTGGCTCCGAAGCTGCGACCGCCCAGTCGCAGTCGTCGGCGCTGCTCGTGCTGTGCGTGCGGCCGCGAGAGGGTGCAGGTGCGTCACGGCCCAGCAGTCGTCCAGCGCGGCCCAGTCGTAGGCAGCATCGGACGCCTCCGTGCTCGCCGGCGGGCTCGCGCGCAAGAGGCGCGTTAATTTGCCCGCCCCGCAGTGCCGGAGGAGGAGGAGGAGGAAAAGGCCAGGCGCCTGCATCGCCAGCCAGCGCGGAGGGCCGACGTCAGCATCAGCCCCAAAATCGGCCTGGCGTTTCGTCTGATCACCGCGGATCCTGAAACTTGCAATATCAAATCGGTACATGAAACGGAAGGCGGGCGGTTTAAAAAATGTGGCTCTCGCCGTAGCACCGCACATAGTCGTCTCGACAGCGTTCAACAAGCACGCAAATGGAGGGCGGGTGGTTCTCAACGAATAAATCTCTCGCCCAGGCTACCAACGACGATTCAAAGTGGGCAATAAGGCATCCTGGTGGGTTCCAAGACGGCTCCAGAGCCCAAGACCCCTCAAAACACCACACCAAGACGGCCCAAGACTAACCCAATACTTGACCACGGCGGACCCCGAACCACACCAGACGGCTCCAAGACTCATCCACTGCGGTCTGATCTGCCTCCGCCTCTGGCCTGCGTCTATCTCTGGGACTGCTACAGGAAGGGAGGGGGAGGGAGGGATAATGGTCGACACTATCGTAGCTTGCTCCCTCGAGATTTTCGCCATGGGCCACGAGGTGGTGATGAAGCTATGCGGAATCTAGGTGAACCATGGGCGGTTATTACGAAGCAACCCCGAGGACGAAGAGGGGAAGAGAAACACGGAGAAAAGGCGAGGTTAGCTGGTGGAACCGCTGCATACGAAACATGCTGACTCTGCCGACGCGAAGCGAGATTTGGCACTAGGCACTAGGCTGCCGATACCCCTACATGTCAGCCTGGTCCTCCTCCTGCTCATCCTCCTCCTCCTTACCTCCTACTGCCCCTCCTCCTCCTACTTACCTTCCGAGGTGGATCGCCCAATTCGCCAGTTGTGCCCCGAGAGAAGCATGGCGCGGCCCAGCAAGGGCTCAGGTCACCTTAGCTCTCTACCGAGCACCCCGACCACGACCTCTCCTGGACGCGATATCGCCAACAGCGCCTTGGCGCGGACAGCGCGGCCATGCGCGGAGCATTGAACACAGCACGCCAACAGGAGAGGAGGGAGCCAGCCAAGGCCAGAAGACAACTAATTACGGATGCTGCCAAGGCATGGGAAGTCCTGCTGGTCCGCCGACACCTGGCCACCACTCCCAAAACTGCTCAGGACATCTCCGAAAACTGCCAAAAGTTACTGCTCCTGCTACTGACATGAAACGGGTGCTGGTGGAAACAGGTCCTGTGCCCTGCCTTGCCCTGGACCTGCTTGTTGTCCCGAGCACTTCTGGCGACGATGGCGCTCTGGAGAAGGGCCCCACGACCCCGAAAACGGCCAACTGCCAGAAGGATTCGATCCCTCAAGGAGTTGTTTCCTTCATGTTGATGCTACTTTGAACCAGCCAGAGAGCGTCTTCATGTTTCGCACACGCGGTCGGTACAGGCCTTGGCCGCCCCCCTCCCCTCCACCCCCGTAACGTCACGATTCGCGCTGATCTATGAACTGCCTGTGGATACTCTTACACATTCCCGGCGCAAAACGTGACGTTACCTGCCCCGCCCGCCCCCCCTCGCCCCTCCCCGCCGGTAGTGTAGGTTATCGTCCGGGAACGAGAGACGCACTCCTGAGCCGGCAGAGACCAGAATGCCGCGCGCCAAGATCCGCAAGGGCCTCGTTGCGCCCGCGTGACTCTCAAGCGAGGCGCCCGTCCGAACCGAACATATAGGACAAACATATAGTAGGACGCAGATCGTTTCCCGAACGGTCTGGCCAAAAAGCGTCGGACGCCACCGAACATACCTATACGGCCACGCTTCGGGTGACCAAGTTATGACAATCGCGACTATGATGGTAGAAGGGGTGGTGATGCGCCCGAAAGACTTCTCCATCAGGACACAATCGGAACCCCACTGGGACACCATCTGGACACCACGAAAGCCGCCTCCGCAACCACTTGTTGGACGGATCTCGCACGCTCGCCGCCGCCTCAGGCGGCGCGCGTTCAGGGCAGGAACGCAGTCAAGCCACAGGGAAGCGTGGCACTGACCGTGTATAGCGCCGCACGCGCGGCGAATGCTCCAGCGAGCAGGAGCAGCCGCCGAGGGGCAGCGGCGGGTTTTTCCCCAGGGGCGCCACGGCCCCAGCGCGAGGCGGGCGTGCGCCACGCTGCGCGACGGGGCCAGGAAGCTGCTCGCCGCCACGGCTGACCTGGGGCTCGGCTCCGAATGCTCCAACGCCCCAAGAGGGAACCTGGCACGATTCTCGTCCTCGAGGGCCGGCCCAAGGAGGCATCCACAGCCAACTCAAAACGAGGAAGTCTCGGCGCGCCAAATTCGAGCCGACACTTCTGGGAGAAGCTGTCCGGCGAGTGTTGCCGAAAATCGGGCCCCCGCTTCGGGCAACGATGGCTCCACGCTGTTTGGCAACGCTGGCTCTGGGCAGGCTGCGCCGCCCGGAGAGAGAGGGAGGGGGGGGAGGGAGGGAGGGAGGGAGGGAGGGAGGGAGGGAGGGAGGGAGGGAGGGAGGAGGAGGAGGAGGAGGAGGAGGAGGAGGAGGAGGAGGAGGAGGAGGAGGAGGAGGAAGGCGAGGAGAAGGCGGAAAAACGCGACGAGCAGACACAACCACGCAGGAGGAGAGGGGAAGCGGCAAAAGCAACAGCAGGCAAGCGCGCACGTCGGGGGCGGGCGGGGGGCGGAAGGAGCGGGGGCCGTCGGCGGCGATCGGGGGTTCTTCGTGCGTCGTCGTGGCGCTCGGGGTCGTCGTGGGTCGTCGGGGGCGGTCGTTGGTCAGAAATCGTCAGGGGGCGGGAGGGGCGGAGGGCCGTCATGTCACTGGGGGTCGTCGTGGGTCGTCGGGGGAGGGGCGGAGGGTCGACGTGGGTCAGGGGTCGTCAGGGAAGGGAGGGGCGGAGGGCCAACCAGTGCCGACGACGACTCAGATGGCGTCAGCCGCGGCCGCCGCCGTGGCTGCTGCGAGGCGCGCAGCAGGCACCCCGGCCGCCGTCTGCGGCCGTCGCAACACCGCCCGCGCGTTCTCCCGTTGATGGGAGACTGAAAGTCGCTGGGCGTGCCAGTCTGCCACCACGGTTGCTTCCTCCCTGGTGGCGTCCGCCACCCGCTTGGCCTAGATCGCGAAAGCTCTCCTGGCCTCGCGCCCCCACCCGCCACCGTGGGCCTCTACCACCATGGGTATGAAGGTGAAGCCCTGCGCCGCGTACTGGCGCTCGGTCTCCAGGTGTTGCCGCTTGAACTCCTCGTACCTCTCCGTGGCCGCGCTGGGGGACGCGGCAGACGCGGCGAGGAGGTCGGCGCGCATGCCAGACGTGGCCGCGAAGTCCCAAGCTGCTGGCACCATCGGGACACAACCGGGACACTATCGGGACACCAATCGGGACACCACTGGGATACCATCGGGACACCATCGGCACACCATCGGGACAACATCGGGACACCGGCGGGACATCACCAAGACACCATCGGAACACCAACGGGACAGCGCGGGTCACCACGGAACACCACAAATCGGGACATCACGTCAGGACACGCCCGGCCACTGCCAGACAACCGGGGCGGGGGCCGGTCTATGGGCCCGGCGGCGCCCTTGCCAGAGGAAGGTCCATTCCTCTCGCCCGCCCACGCAGCTTCGCCTCGCCCGCACGCACGACAAGAATACGAAACGGAAACCATTTCCCGGTAAAGGGGGTACCTATAAGACCACCCTTCGGGTGATAAGGAGGATCGGGGGGAAGAACCAACTGATGGCAATCTTGATGGTTGTGATGAGGACGATGCCTGTGATGCGCCCTCGGGTTGGCGACGACGCGTGATGATGATGCTGGTCCCGATGAGGGCTGTTGTTTGTCACCGATCGGACACCCCCGACGGGGACACCCCGACGGGACACCGACGCGCCACCGACGGGACATCGACGCGCTACCGACGGGGACACCGACACGCCACCGACGTGGACACCGACGCGCCACTGACGAAGACACCGGCGCGCCACCGACGGGACACCCCCCCGGCGCGCGGTGACCGGCTCCACAGCCCCTAGCCACGGCGGCATCATTACTCTCGCACGCCCACGCAGCTTCGCCTCGCCAGCACGCACGACACGAACACAAACCGAAACCAAGTTCCTGGTGGGAGGCTCGTTCCTCTGCGATCTCACCCCGCAACCTCCGATCCGTGTCACTTCGGAACTTTGATACCGCCCCCAAATCTCCGATACTATAAATTTCTCGGCGCGCGCGCGTCGCCACTTTTGGGGGCGACACACACAGACTATTCATATGATTGGGTGACGCCAATGAGCAGAGAGGTCGGAGGGGTGGGAGGGGCACGAGGGGGGGAAGAGGGAAGTTCAGCAGGGGGGAGGATGGGGGAAAATGGGGAGAAGGAGGGAAGGTGTAGGAAAACAGTCAGAATGACGAGACGCAAACCATATTCTGTCTCGCTCACTCCCGCCCGCAACATTACCGCAGAACCCAAAACTCAGTGTGAACTAAGATCGCCACTCCATTGGCAGTGGCAGCCGACACCCGCTGCGTCAGGTGAACCATGTGACAGCTGAGCAGCAGAGCCAGGCGCGCCGTTTGCCACAGGCGCTGGGCCCGCCAGCTGCGCTATTATTGACTACCTACCCGAAGACCCGAATTTCGGGTCGGAGAGGGTACGGGTCCCATCCATGTTTTTTCAATATTCCCCGACGCCCCCCAACTGGAAATGGAGGGCAAATTGGAGCTTTCGGGTTGGGTTGGGGTGGTTTGGTCGCTGGCGAATTATTGTCCGGCGCGCGTGCTTCGGAATAGTGTTCTCGCCTACACACCTGGCAATCTCTTGACGGACAAGAGGACCGCGACGCACTCTCTGCATCAGCGGTTGCATGCGACTGCGCGGGGGGTCATCACGACGATCAGCGTTCACAGCCACGCGCGCTGTAGTGGCGTTCGACAAAAATGGTGGAAGGAACCGCTTTGTCCATGGTAATGGATGACAAGGACGGGTGAACATCGTCCAGGCCGACAGCCGATCGAGCCTCGGATCGGGGACGGCGGCTTTCGCTTCGCCAACGCGACCCCATCTGGACCTACCAGGGGTCCAGCTCTGCAGGATGCCCGCCAGAAACATAAGGGTTTCCAAGGGGAGGACGCTCTGAGGGGGTTGGGCCAAGTCCCTCGTGCTTCTAAAACGAAATCAAAATGATTACAGCACGAACCTGGAGGATGTAGCCTGAACGGAGGGGGCCGGCCCCTCCGGTTGGGAGGGTCTCCCTGAGCAGGCTGGAGGGCGATACGTCACTGGCTTCCGAATTACTTCGGACGGCGCTGGCTGCAGCCGCGCCACGACCGACGGATGGGCAGCAGCGCCTGCGCCGCTCGCGTCTGCACATGCCCCACCAGAGCGCGGCGCTCGGCAGCGGCGCGGCGGGGCCCTGCGGGCGCCCTGCCTCCTCGCACCACGGCGGCGCCCAGCGAGCAGCACGCTGGGGCAGGTCAGGGAAGGAGGAGAGAGAAAGGGCAGCGGCTGCAAGCAGGCAGCCGCATGATGCGAGCTCGCGTCCCGACGGGGACGATCCGAGCCAGCGTCGAGGAGGGGTGGGCGGAGGAAAGCAGGAGAGGAACGATGGAGGGAGGGAAGGGGAGAGAGGAGGGAGGGAGGTCGCGCTACCCGTCCCCGTCCACACCGCGGCTGATGAAGGCGCCAGCAACAGCGGCATGACATTCGTATCAAAATGGGCATCACCACACACAACCATGATCTCCACCATCGCCAATCACTCGTAAAGTCCACACTGCGCATGAGGCGCCGCCAGATTCCCCATGCGATCAGAGCATCCAAGGCGGCTGCCACATGCTTGATGGCTCTGGCGATTTCTGCGCCATGTCTGGGGGAATGAGATACTTCTTCCCCTGGTCGAGCCCATCGTCGCCCTTGTCTGCCATTCGAGGCGGTGCCTGGAGAACACGCGTCGACCCAATCCTGGCTTCTCACCTACATCTGATACTCCGTCTGACCACTGCTCGCACTTCTGCGCTCGCTGCTCCTCTTTGGTCCTCCAGTTGGCCGCACGCCTGCACGCCGTACATCTTTTTACGTCGTAGCGCGGCAGAGGCAGTCCGCACACGCGCTCGAGCAGGCCGGGAGGAGGCAAGCGCTCATTGTCACGACCGCGCACACGCATCCAGACAATCATCAACACACTCACGACCCCCTGCACACACACACACACACACACACACACACACACACACGCGCGCGCGCACAAACACATACACACACACAAACTGTCTCACCCCCAGGATCTCTCTCTGTCTCGCTCGCATTCACTTCCTCCCTCGTTCACTCGCTCGCTCGCTCGCTCAACTACATACCCACGTCACTCTGTCTCCCGTTGCTCGATCACACTCGCTTCACCACTCTCTCACTAGCGCTCAAGCTAGCAAATGTTCAAGGCGGCACACTGCTGATCACAAGTGCATCACTGTGACCCCTACCTGACGATGCACATTCTTTGGGGGGACAGACACAAGTCAATGTCAGTACGTCAAACTGGTCAGTCGCACAGATGTGCGCAGGTTACGTTACCTACGTATGGATAGCAAGCAAAGGAAGAACAAGGAGAGGCGGGCGAGAGAGAAAAGGGCGGGCACCAAACAAATACAAGAGGAGCGTTGGCAAGGATGTTTTCATGAGCTCTCGCGAAGGTACCCCGAGCACTGGCAAGGATGGCCATTCGCGTCTTCGGCGCGGCACAATGGTTGTCACGTGTCCCTCCAATTCGGGGGGGGCGGAATCAGGGGCAGGCGTGCGTCCCAGTCCCACCAACCCTGGGGCGAAGGTGGTTAAGCGAGTTCTTCAAGCCTCCTTCTTCCAATTGGGGGGAGAGGTTTGTCTCTCTACCCCTTCCTCCTCACCCTGGGTCTGGACAGGGCGTTTCGCGAGGAGTTGATGAGTCCAAGATGGCGCAAAGATGGCCTCAAAGATCGCACAAGATATCGCAAGATGGCGCCAGATAGCGTCCAACATGCCTCTAGAAGGCGCCATGAGCGTCCCACGAAGCCTCCAAGTGCCCACGGTGCCTCCCCAGGACCCCCTTGAGAGTCCAAAAACAAGTTCCCAAGAAGGGCCTAAGACCGCTGAAGAACGCCCCGATGAGCGCCCTTAGAAGCCATTGTTCGGCCTCACAGGGGGGGGGACCGTAATTGAGAACCCCCCTCTTGTTTGAGCTCCCAAGAGGGCCCCAGGAGGACCCCGAAAGAAACCCCAAAAAGCGCCAAAGGCCTACATCCTACATAACAAGATGCCCCAAATAAACAAGCTCCGTATCGAAAGATTCGTGAAGGCATCTATGGTTGAATCGTGGGACTGCTTAGGCTGATCCCGATTTTCGGCTTGACGGCTGCCCCCCCCTTTTGTTCAGCTGCGTGTTCCCACGTGTCCATGATCAGTGCAACTCCCCTAGGCATCGTTGCTGGCTGGGCTGGTGGGGATATGCACAGCGTCAATAATTACCTACCGAAGTACCATCGCAGGTAGTCCTCACCGGTTCACCCCGACTTCGCAACCGGGTCAACTAAATTACTGGTGAGATCATGCTGCAAGCCTCAGCATCTTCAGGTTACGAAGAATTCCCTAAGAACCGGAATTGGGGGGGAGCACGCAGCAAGCAGTGAAAATATGTCCAAGTTACTCTGGAACCTGCGTCGCCCTAGCGTTGAAACGAGCACAGCCTGTGAAGAATGAGTGATTCGCACGTGGGATGCAACAGCCCTCGAGCTACAATCTTGCACTGTCACTCACACCCTGCTCCTAACCGCACTCTCACTCCCACCAGACATCACCCGCCCACGCACACGCCAACCCTCCCTCATTTCCTCCTCTGCCTCCTCCCTCTTCCCTACCGAATCCCCCCCTCCCTCTCCCTATCTCCCGCGTCATCCTCGAAATCCATCCCGACACAGGACTGCGTTCAAGTGCAAGCCAGCTAAATCCAGTCCCCAAGGCCAAGAGCCATCGGAGTCGAAGCTCGCTCTTCAGACGCGCTTACAGAACCTCGAGCGTTTCGCCTGTAGCTCGGCTAGGCTCACTACCCAGATAGCCAGACATTCGTCGATTCGATGTTGATCGAGTCGACAGCCCCCAGAACTTTCGACCCATTCCCCAGGACGAGAATTTTCATCCTGTCCTGAGAAGTATTTGAAGAACCCAGAGCTCGGAAAATGTCCCGAAAACTCAGGAAACATTGCAAAAAGCACAGCCTGATTTAGACATGGGTCCTGGCGCACGAATATTCCGCAGACCTTGCTCTGGCAAACAAGCAAGCCAAGGCGCCGAACCCTGCCAAGGGCCCACGAGACGTCCCAGAACCAGTTCTCGTCGACCGGCTCCCTGGTCATTGCCAACCTCAGCAGCGCCCTCTCCTGTGCAGCACGAGCAGACGAAACCAGGAAGAGGACACAATCAGGATAGGAGAAATCGAGAATCCATGCGGGCCAGCGGGCCTAGAGAACGCATCGGGCGCCGCAGCCGTTCCAAACATATTCAAAACGCAATGAAAGCGTTCCAGCACTCTCTGCGGCTGCCGGACACCAGCCAGGCAACACGCAATTATGTGAGGCATACCTGCAGGATGCTGGCTCTGACTGGTCAGAACGTTCGCGGAGGGGCTCCACCTGCTCCTTCACAACGTCATCATCATCATCATCATCATCATCATCATCATCATCATCATCATCATCATCATCATCATCAGCATCATCATCATCATCATCATCATCATCATCATCATCATCATCATCATCGCCATCACCATCACCATCACCATCACCATCACCATCACCATCACCATCACCATCATCATCATCATCATCATCATCATCATCATCATCATCATCATCATCATCATCATCTTGCCCTCCCCTCGCCCACCCACGCACTCGGGTGACCCGTGAATGCTGTACCGTGGCAGCTCCAGGTGCGGTCGGCTCTCATGACGGAGTTCATTCGGCCGCCACGCGGCAACGTCCGATCATGATTGAGCGCCACGCCAGAAGTAGCACATTTGATGTTCCCACATATGGCTTCTCAAGTTTCAAAAGCTCCCGCTGACCCTTACCATCCCCTCCCGCCCTCGCCACCTATCCCGCTGACCAGTTGAATGAAACCACCAACGAAACCCACATGGTTCGGAAGGATGCCACTCAGAACAAGTTCCCCTCCAAAACTACGTGAAGGTTTATCAGGGAGACTTGCGCGGGTGGGAATACACGCGCATGAACACGCTGGAGGCAGATCGGGCGCAGCCCCATCCCTGGCGACAGCTGATCCTGATCCGACAAAATAATTCGGGGAAGGTCCTTCGGAAAATCCCCTGCCCCCTCCTCCGTCGCCTGACGAAAACTCCCTGTGAACCGCGCGTGGCAACCAGCGTGACCTGCCTGGGGCCTCGTGCGGCATACTTGCCTGCGGAAACAAAGCATGTCTTTGACGCGCGCGCGCGCGAAACGGCCGTCAGAGGCGCGAAATATCTCGGCGCGAAGGCCAACCATGGCCGTTATCCGCAGATGGGCAAACAACACCAGGTTGAACAGTTGCACGTTACAACGGCAGAACACATACCCATGCCCATGAAACCGGGTTCGGGGTGCCGCGCGGGGTTCTCATCGAGCGAGAGCGGGCGCCTTCGCAGCCAGCTGCGCGCATACGCGCGCGTTGGTTGCAACCGCCCACATAGATAATACCGAAATCATAAGACGATTGAGGCGAGGTTGCATTCGGCATTCGGCAATTTCGTTTGAGGGGTGTTTTGGACTGACGCACTTTTTGGTTGATAACCATCAGGGCGTGTTGGTTGCTATAGGCGGTTCTGTAGACCCCGGGCCAACTGCGACCAGCTTCAGGGGCTGGCCACAAAGAAACTAATCACCTGAGACGTTCCCCAAAATAAAGCCCCTAAGATGATTGTAGTGGGCGTTGTTGGAAAGGTACCCGTGCAATCCCAAAGAGTTACCATCCACGCTAGACCGATGGCTTCGGTTTCCGAGGGTCAACCACAACCGAATCGGCAGAATCCGGCAATTAGCGCGTGAGGGTGCGTTACTACTCTGAGGCAAACGGCTCTCGCAACTGATAAGAGAACATGTGGGGCTCAGGCGCTCGAGCAGTCGATCCGATATGTGATTCATCTTTTTCCCTCCTGAAACGTCGCCAGCCTGTCACTGGCAATCTCGCATTTGCACTGCCCCTACGAAAACCAAGCCATCTGCGAGCTTCCCCGAGGCGGTTGCTACTCCATCTCTCTCTCTCTTTCTCTCTCTCTCTCTCTTTCTCTCTCTCTCTCTCTCTTTCTCTCTCTCTCTTCGCACCTACCCCCTGACCTCATTCCACATCGTCCCCGCGCCGACTCTTCTGGGCCTCGCGCGCCCTGGGAGCCGATGCGACGACCGACGATGAATTCCAATCGTCGAGTCCCCGCTGCCGCACCAGCAGGACGACGGGGGAAGAGGAGAACAGAAGCAGGATGGAGGAGGAGAAAGAGGAGGATGGAGGATTGAGGAGGAAAAGGTTGAGGAGGAGGAAGTGGAAAAATAGGAGGAAAAGGAGTAGGAGGAGGGGAAAGAGGAGGAGGAGGAGGAGGGAGGAGGAGGAGGAGGAAGGATGGAGGAAGAAGAGGTAGAGGAGGAGGAGGCGAAGGAGGGGGAGGAGGAGGAGGAGCAGCAGGAGGAGGAGGAGGTGAAGAAGGAGGAGGGGGAGGAATAGAGAGCGAAGGGAAGCCGCGTCCTCCTCTCCCTTCGCCTTGTCATCTTCCATTCCCCCTCCCCCTCGCCCCTTCCCCCTCCTTGTCCTCACTCCTTCTCCTCCTTCTCCTCCTCCTCCTCCTCCTCTCCCTCGTCCTCCTCATCCTCCTCTTCATCCCCCCCCCCCCCCTCCTACTCCCCCCACCCCTCCCCCACCCGTCCTCTCGCAGCTGGGCCCCAGGGCGCTGGCGCTCTTGAGCGATGCCCTGACTACGACGCCTCGGCGTCTAATTTGGCGATGAGTTCGAGCACCGCCGCATTGCGCTTCGCCAGCGGATCGTCGTCCGCGAGAGAGGAAAGGCACTTGGCGGCCTCGTCGCGCCTCAGCTTCGGCCCAAAGGCATGCCAGCGGACGCCGTGAACATTCTGATCGGACGCGAGCATCACCATGGCAAAGCCCGCTGGAACGACGACTCGCGTCTTGGGCTCGAGGCGGTAGTAGAAACCATGGGCCTTGACCTTTGCGATGACCGAGTCGATGGCGTCCAAGCGCGCGCCGAAAATGTGCTCGATGCCCCCCGCGGCCAGCTTCGCGTTGACTGTCCCGAACTCGGTGTTCGGGATGGCGCGGCAGGTCTTGGGGTTCACCCGGTAGCACTGAGGTGACCGCACGTTCTTCGCGATATCTGGCCCCGAGACCCCGCGAGCGAGATCTCGCGCGGGGCCTTCCTCAGCTTGGCGCACATCTGCTTCAACGCCAGCGGCTCGACGATCACGGCAGCACTGAACGACGCCCGCTGCTCCTTCATCACGTTCTGCGCCCACTCCTTCTGCCGCTGGAAGCGTCGCATGCCCTTGATCATGTCGGCCAGCTCGCCCACGACACCATCAGGGATATCAACTGGAGAAGGGGATATATCATCCAGGAGCGCCGACAACGACCACTCGATGTTGACGCTGGCGGCGCAGACTGGATCACCGCCACCCGCATCGAGGTGTTCGATGAGACCCCCCCCCCCCCCACCCACGAGCACAAGGCAGGGTTCGAAATTGCAAGAGCACTTGAACATGGTTTGCGGAAGCTTCGCGTCTTCCTTTTATTTCTTCGCGATACATTTCTTAGCCATGCCCTTCCAATCCTTGCGCGCCATGGCCTCTCTCTTCAAGATCGCCAACAACTCTCAGGAGGTCACGTTGAACAGCTTCGCCTCGTTGGAGACATTGGCCCGGTAATCGAGCAACTCCGGGCTCGCGTGGACGCTCCCCCGGCAATCTGGCCAACCCGTGACGACATGCGCGATGTGCCGCTCAGATGGGGCAACCGCCCCATCCGCGGCCTCGCGTTTCACGCTCGCATCCTCTTTGAATTGATCACCTTGCTCCCCGCAGGACTTACTAATTTTCGTCGCGGCCCCGATCGTGTCCCTGAGCCCGTGGGCAGTGCCCACCACCATTGCGCGGCTGCCCTGGACGCGAGCCATGAGAGCGGCCTGCTCGACGGCGGCGCTCTTCAACGCGTTGCCAACCTCACCCAACGCCTCCTGGACTTCCTTCTTCTTGGCCTCAGACAGGCCTGAACCTGAGCGGTGTAGCGTTTCCGCTGGCATCGGCAGTGCCCTCTTCGGTGTCTCCAGCGTTTCCGCCGCCCCCTCCAGCGTTTCCGCCCCCCCCCCCCGCTCTCGCGACATTGGGGGTGGCGCATCTTCAGCTCGCGGTGCTCAGAGAGGTCTGCCCGGAGCTGGGCGACGGCGTCGCGCGCCATCTCGCTGCCCGGGGGCGCCGCGGGCCTCCGAGGGCACAGGCCGCGCGACATCCACGCCGTCGCCATGGCGCGGCAGAAACGGTGCGACGCCTCGATTCGGGGACCTGCTGCCCCGGTCCATGGAGCAGTCTGGGCGGTGTTCCTGCAGCCCAAAGCGGCAGTAACTGCGCAGGTTGACGCGCCCCCGCCTGTCCTCTCGCCCCCCCTGGCGTCGACGGGCGCGCATCCCCGCGGAGAACCGCGAGTTCCTGCCCCCATCGCCCCGCCCGCACCTCTGGACAGCATGCCAGTGGCGGATCTGATTGTCGGCCCGGCCATGGCCGAGCCAGAGGCCCATGTCTTCGCGGGAGACGCGGCAGTCGGGCGGCACCCACGCAGAGCCACGCGAACGGCCCCGCTGGTCGCGATGCGCCCCGTAGGCGTTGAAGCTGGCCATGCCCCACCCGACGTCAATGAGGTCTGCGAGCGAGATCTCAGTCGCAGGCGCGACTCTTTGTCTCAGCGTGTTTTCGCGCGATATGACTAAATATATATATATATATATATATATATATATATATATACAAGTGGCACGTGCGTGCCCAGGCTCATACAGAAAAACTGAAGGGGCGTTTGAAGCAGGAGTGAAATGCAACATCGAAGTCGCACTCGAGCGCAAGTGGGGTTGCCACACCTTGCGATGCGTGTACCAGGGCCCCCAGGAAGCCTTAGGAGGCCCGACTTGGATACCAGAAGAGGCTCCAGGAGGCCCCAGGATTGTGAGTGTTGTGCGCGTGTGTGTGCGTGTGTGTGTGTGTGTTTGTGATGTATGCTTCGTGTGGTGCGTGCTTTTTGTGTGTGTTATGTTTGTCTAGCGTGTGATGTGTTGGGCGTGACGTGTGTCTCTGTGTGCATGTAGTTCTGAACCCCCAGGAGGCCCCAGGAGGCCCCACAATCGGGGTCACAATTATTCACTGAGAATCGGGGTCACAATTATTGAAATTACAATCACTGAGAATCGGGGTCACAATTATTGAGAATCGGGGTCACAATTATTGAAATTACCATGTGTTTTTGAAGGCTTTATGTTAAAATATTGAATTCCCCATGTGTTTTTGGACCCTGACGTCGCGATCTGCGTGAGGGGTGCCACCGATTTTCTGGCGAGATCTTTTCTGCGGATGCTTGCCTTGAGCCATACCAGCAATGGCATGATCTCTGTCAGTAAACCTGCTGGGGGTCTCTGGATTCCTGCAGCCCCCTTCGTGCCGCCTAGCTCTTCAGCCAGGCACGATACTCGAATCCTGAAAAGCTCCGAAACTCATTGTCAGTGCACAGCGCTCTGGACCACGGCGTTGGTCGAGCACTCCAATCAAAGTACACGCAATAGCCGCGCTGACGGCCGTAGCCCGTCCAAGGCAATGACAGCGCGGAGCGAAAGACTGCAGGCCGAAATGGCCAGGCCAAAATGGCCGCTCGTGCCCCTCAGTTCAGACCTTCGCCTGAAGGGCACTCGAGAGGGGGGCGCGTCCGAGAGCTTGACACTCATCATCTCCAGCCCTCGGAGCATCGCCGCCTGGTCGAGGAACTTCGTCCCCAGGTCCGCCGGGTTCGACTTCCCGGGACCCTTGGCCAGTTGAAACCGTCCGTCCTTGAGTGCCTTCTGCACCCACAGCGTCGGCGTCTCGAGGTGTCGGACTTTGCCGCAGCCTCGTCGTTGCATGATGCCAAGAGCAGCTGCCGAGTCGCTCCAGATGCGACGGCTCACGTCCCTGCCTAGGCCCTGGCACAGTGACTGCATGCCGATGGCCCTGCTGGCCGCCCGCACACAGCCGTAGAACTCAGCCTCCCCCGAACTCATGGAGATGGGGATCTGAGTCGTCGACGCCGTCACGATCAGGTGCTGCCCATGTTTGATCACGACTGAACTGGTGCTCCTCCGCGTGATCGGGCAGCCTGCCCAATCGGTGTCCGAGTAGATGTCCATCACTGTGGGTGCCCGCCGTCGGCCCCACTTCCAGATGGCCCGCGGCGCCCCGATCAAGAAGCGTCCAGCGCGCTTCAGGAGGCGGAGGTGTCGCTCTGTCGGCTTCTGCATGCCGCGAGCGCACTCCTTGGCCGAGAACTGCACCTCTGGCCGATCAAGCGCCAAGTAGCCCAGCCTCATGCACGCACTGCGGTACTCTGCCGCCTCGTGCTCGTTCAGCTCGCGCTCGACCTCAGGTGTAAGCTTCTGGCTCAGCCCTGGCGTGCTCAATGACTTCGCGGTGCGGGGGTCGATTCCAAGCTGCGCGTGCAAGATCTGCGCGTGCCTGGGATCCGCCTCGTACTCGATGGCCTCGCCCCCTTGGCACCATCGGTCTCGCCAGCGCATTACTCTGTTGAGGCACGTGATCTCCTTTGCGTCGGTAGGCGCCGGCCCGAGCACGCCCCTGTCCTTCACGATGAACTTCGTCTTCAGGGCCTCGCAGATCAACTCCGCCCCGCCCCGAGAGCCCTCGAGCACGAAGTCGTCGCCGTGGTGGAAGAAGCTCACCTGGAGGTCCTTATGGCAGTACACGCAAGGCGAGAAGGCCGACTGGTCACAGCCACCACCGATGACCGTCTCGGCAGCCGTGAGCTCGAAGTTCTGGCCAGCGTCGCGCGTCCCGTAGAGCGCCATCCGCAAGAGCCCACACGTACCGATCTCCTGCGACATCGGATCCTCCCCTGGAAGCTTGATGTAGACCGTCCTCTTGATCTCACAGTGCGGGTGTGCCCGCGAGATGTCCAGGAAGCGCAGCACGCGGCCCTCGGACGGGTCGCTCGACATCACCATGCTGCAGATGAGCCGAAGGCACTCTAACGGCGGGGTCGCCGCAAACACCGCGCCGACGTCGTCCCCGGCGATGGTGCTCTGCGCCCTGGTCTCCTGCACGACGAGCCTGGATCTGTAGTCCGGCCGGTCGGTGTCGCCCTTGTCGATATCAACCCAGCGCACACTGAGAGGCCTCCGTCCAAGCTCGCGCTGACAGTCCTCCTCCCTCGCGTAGACCCACACGCCAAGCTGCGCCATGAAATCCATCTCCAGGCGCCTCGCGGCCTTCACCCGCGTGGGGTCCAGCGAGAGGCCGGTGAGGTCGTCGTAGAACTCGGTCCTCAGTGTGTCGCGCCACTTCCCGACGAAGTCCTTCAGGCTGATCTCCTCATCGCCCACGTTCGGCCCAGCATCCAGGGCCGAAAGCGTGAGCACCTTCTTGTTGCTAAGGTGACGGCGGAGGCCACGGAGGATGGCGCGGAGGAGCTTGACCGGGTACCTCTCCGCCACACGCATGTTGCGGCCGACGAAGGTGGAATGCTCGTGGCGGCTGCCAATGCCAGTATCATTGGGGCAGCGCTTGCAGACCTCATCCAACCTCTCCTTGTTATTACTCATCCACCCTGTCGGCTTCTTGGCGAGCCTGTCGCCGTGCGCGTCCGCAACCACCAGGCCGAACACGCACTGGTCGCCTCGCCCGACCTCGACACCCGGGAGAGCCATCACATCCTTCACGATGTCCAGGTCCCAGCTGTCCGCGCTCCAGGGGTGCTCGTGCAAGAGCGTGCGGTCGTGCTTCACCTGCAGCGTGTAGAGCTCCATCACGAACCTCAAGTGCTCGTACCCGATGGCGTAGGCCTCACGCTGCTTCTCCGTGTCCTCGTTCAGGTACTTCAGCATGGAGAACGGCGCGCAGCGAGGACTGCCCAAGAGGAAGTACACCTCGAAGTGCTCGATCAGCTCCCGGCACTGTCGCTGCTGCTGGCGGTCGGTCAGGTCCCAACCAACCCTCAGGTCGAACGAGACGCCGTGGACCAGACCGAAGAGGGGGGCAAAGCCCACAAGCCTATTCGGGCAGAAGACCTCCATCACGTCGGCCTTGCGCCCGCTGTAGCCGAGGGAGAGCAGGAGGGCACCGATCTCCTCCTGCATGTTGTCGTCGCCGGGGTCGTGTGGTACCGGAGCCATCGCCACGTCAGCCGCCGCTGCGGCCTCGGGTGCTGGCGGCGCCTGCTGAGCTGGGGCTGGGCCGCCACTGCCTGACGAGCCGCCCTCTTGATAGACAGGCCCAGCGACGTCAGTGCGATGCCGCTTCCGCTCACGGGCATCCTCGAGCCTCTGCTTTGCCTCCTCGTCGCCCTGCATCGCCTGCTCGATCCGAGCGCGGCACTCGGCAGAGTGAGCCTGCGCCCGGGCGCCGTTGAGGATCGCAGCGCAGCCGTAGCAGCCCGGGGAGAGCCCGTACTTCGCGATCACGACGTCCTTCCTGATGTAGACGGCCCGCGGTCCTGCCGGTGGCCGCCCGACTCGGAGAGCCCGGGGCGGGAGGTCCCCAGCCTCAGGGATGGGCGCCAGGTCCGCCCAAAGGCGCGACCGGCGCTGGCACCGGCGCTCGGATCTCGATGGCCACCTGTACTTCGCCCATCTCCACGTCCGTCGGCACCGGCGCCCACGGCTTCCCCACGAGGCTGTTCAGCAGGTCCTTGTCGGCCCGCTGCTCGACCGTCAACCGCTTGAAGGCCCTGGCCCGCAGTACGCCCAACTCCGTGCCAATGTAGACCTCGCCCGTCCGAAGCGTGGGCCCCAGGTAGAGCCCAGCGAGGAACTTGTCCTCGATCCTAGCCTTGCGCTTGCCCCCTGGGAGATACAGGACCTTCTCCGAGAAGCAAGCCAGGTCCTTGTTGAAGGGGCGCCGTGCCGAAGCTCCCAAGCCGTGCGGCCGCCAGCGCCCCGCCTGCCCAGGTTGATGGACATGGCTGCGAACTCGACCATCCACGGGGTCACTGGGTGCTCGACGCCAATGCTCACGCCGTGGAGGTCGTCCACCTGCGCCCGCGCCGTCCTCGCCTTGGCCATGACCTCGCGCACCGCGTGCTCGGCCAGGCCGTTGCCCTGAGAGTCGCCGACCGCGCTCTCCTCGGGCACCGTCTCGATGCCGTACTCCTCCTTGAGCTTGGCCCCGATGCGGGTCTTCAGGGCGACGAGCGGCGCCTCGCCGTCTGAGCGGAAGACGAAGCGCTTGTGGCCAGCCGATGCCAGCCTCCTGGACCACGACTTTGCCGGCCAGGGATGCTGCGTCCCCTTAGCTGGCACCACCGACGCGTGGAACCAACGCTGCTTCGAATCTTTCCCGATCAACAGCGGCGCGGCGTCCTCTCGTTCACCGAGGTAGCCGTAGTCGATGCCAACCACCGCGAGCGCCGACTCCTGGCGGTCCTTCGTCTGATGGCCTGCGGACAGGCCTCTGCCGGAGACGCACTCCCGGCACCATGCCCTGTAGGGCTCGTGCAGCACCTCGTGCGCGGCTCGCTCGGCCGCCGTCGGCGCTGCGGGCTCCCTCGCCGGCCGTACCGGCGGGCCCTCGGCGACCTCCTCGTGAGCCGCGCCTGGCTGGCCGGCTTCACCCTCGGGAGGCTCGTGGCCTGCCACCTCGACCGGGCAGACCTCCGGCACGTGCGGGTCGACGTGCATATCCATCTCGTAGACCTTGTTCCTGCGGCAGAACTTGACAACGTCTCCGCTGGTCTTGTGGTACGCGTAGCTAATGTCCTGCCCGCCCTCCGAGTCGAAGACGAGCCGATGGCCAGAGTCGACCATCTCCGCGACGCTCAGCAACGGCTTGCTGATGTCCGCCACCCTGAACTTGGCAGCGCGTGCCTGAGAAGCCCCAGGCATCGTCCCCACGAGGATCTTCTCGCCCTCGTCGTTCACGTAGTGGCCAGAGGCAGTCTTGTACGAGATCGCCTGGCCGCCCTCGTGCACCGGGTAGTCTGCACACGAGCCACGCGGCAGCACCGATGCCGCCGCACACGAGTCGATGCCCACTCGCAAGATGCCGTTGAGCTCGACCTCCTCCGCATCCGAATTGCCGTGGATCATGTCAAGGTCCAGGGCCGCGCCGGTCGCAGAGTCGACCACGTCCGCCTTGTCCGGCCCCGGGTCGTAGATGCTGTGGAGGTTCGCGAACGGGTAGCTGACCTGCTCGTCCGCGTCGTTCAGGTAGAGTGCTGCGACCTGTCGAGAGCTCGCGCCGGACATCGCCGTCGCCGGGCTCAGCCTCGTAGTCGCAGCCGTCGAGATAGAGCTGGCCGCCGATGGTACGGTCATACTCGTCGACTGGGAGGCGCTGATGCGAGCTAGCGTCTGCTCCATGCTCGCCAACGTCCCCCTGTGCTTGCTCGGGCATTCACGCTGAGTGCGGCCGCGACCGCCGCAGCCCCAGCAGAGTGGCCCGAGCTGCTGACCATGTGACTTGCTGCTGGTATTGCTCTTGCCGTCGGACTTGGACTTGCCCTTGCTGTCGCCCTTGCTCTTGCCCTTGCCACTGGACTTGCTCTTGCCCTTGACTCGCCCTTGAACCTGCCCTTGCCGTCACCCTTGGTGAACGCGCTCAGGTCCACGGGCACGGGCACCGGGGCGATGGCGCTCTGGGCACGGCGGATGTCGGTGACCTAACGTCGGAAGTCCTGCCACTCCACCAGCCTGGTCGCATTGAGCAAGAGGTGCTGGCGTAGAGGGCCTTCCTCGAGCTGCCGAAGGACGAACCCGATCCTCATGGAGGCTGTGATGGCCTCGCCGCTCCTCTGCTCGTACCTGAGGAGCTCTCGCTCGAACAGCGCCAGCCGGTCCTCGACATCGCCAGTGAACGAGAAGTTCAGGAGATTCAGCAGCTGCCCCGCGATGCGGGACCTCGCATTCGGTTCGTAGTATTCAACCAGCTTGCGCCAAGCCTGGAAGCCCGCATTCTCGCCAGCATTCACGATCGTCGTCAGGGGATGCTGCCGGCAGAGGAGGAGCAAGATGTAATACAGCTGCTGCGAGGCCTGCCTCATGTTCTCCTCGAGGAAGTCATCGTTCTGAACTGGGGCCTCGTCAGCGCTCTCTGCCAGTCGCATCCCTGCCAGCAAGTCGGCGTTCACGACGCCACAGTACGCCTTGAAGATCACCCTCCAATCGTTCCACTTGTGCTCTTCGCCCGTGAACACGTCTGGCTTGCCCAGCGTGCGGGTGTCCACGAGCGACTCGGCTCGAGGCTGCGGCACAGGCCCGTCCACCCGTGGTCTAGCCTCGGCCACACGGCCGAGCCGCTGCACCTCGGCCGTGAGATCGTTCTCCCTCTGCTGGCGGTTCTGCAGCTCCTGGGCCAGCGCTATCATCTGTTGCTCTAGAGCCTGCACGCGCTCCTCCGCCATCTCAGCGGCGGTTCGCGCGCAGCTTCGTGAAATCCTTCAGGTGCTGGCCCATCGCTGCCCAGGTCCTCCTCAGCCTGAACAGCTTGCGTAGCTGCCTCGCCACTCTCCTCCAGCCTCCATGGGCCTCGACGAGCTCCCACTCGTCGCCCTCGCTGGAGCTGGGCCCGGCAGGCCCTGCTGCGGCCCCCGCACCGGCGGCCGGCCCCAGGCTGCTGGGGCTCTCCGCGCCGCTGGCGCGAGAGGGAGCCGCGGAGCCCGACCCTGTGGACTGGGAGGGTCGGGACCACGGCTCCGCTACCATGGCGAGATCTTTTCTTCGGATGCTTGCCCTGAGCCATACCAGCAATGGCATGATCTCTGTCAGTAAACCTGCTGGGGGTCTCTGGATTCCTGCATGTTCAGAATTTCAAGGATGTCCCGAGCGAAACGCCCAGAAAAATCGCGGACGCGTGCGCATTAATCGCCTCTGAGCTCTACTCCCTCGGAGAGGTGCGTATGATAATACATATCTATATATATATATATATGTGTATACGTTCCTGCTGGCATGTTGTTTCTGCCCAGAGCGTCTCCTCATGCGTCTCCGCAATATTGGGCAAGCTGGCATGGCGCAGCTCGGCCGCCGTAGCAGGGGCCGCCTCAGCTTCGGAGACGCCCCTGCCATGCGCAGTAGCGTCTCCGCCAACATCGGGGAGCACGTCGTCGAACGCGTCCTCGACTGCTTCTTGAGCCGTCGAAAGGGCCATGTCGTCCTCCCCCATCCCCTGTAGAAACGCACTGGCTCTAAAAATGCGCATCGCTTCCGCGTCGGTCACGCGGCATCTCCTCCCCGTTTCGGCCCATGGGAATGACCGCCCACCGCGACCGCTGGCCCGGGAGATTTCTTCACGCTCGGCGCTGGAAGAGGCGGCCGCGAATTCGCCGAAGCCTTCATCGCGCAACCGTCGGTTGCGACGACCACCCCTTCCATGGCCCTTCCCCCGTCGGCGAAACACACTCCGCAATGCCCTGCGCACTCGCCGCGCGGGCTTCTTAATGAACCGCCCCCCGCTGCATTTTGCGCGCTGGTAGCCTAGGAATAAATATTCAGCGGTTTCAGCGTCAGCGAAGCCGGGGGGCAAATCCGACTTGTCAATCCGCTCGGTTCCGTCGGATGATAGCGCGTCGGTATCGGCCCCAGAATCGATGGGCGAAACCCCAGCGGAGGTTTGGCCCCATAGGGCAGTCTGGCTCTCGGGAGCGGCGCGCGATGGAGGGTTTGAAGGCTGCCCCCAGCCCGGTTGCGCTGATGACGTCGGGTAGCTTCTGCCAGTTCCTGGACCTTGCGGGGCCGTCGAGAGCAATGCAAACGCCTCCTCTGAAGCGTTGGGGTCGCCCGCCCATGCGCTGCTGGGCGCGGCCGCGTCTCCGCCAGCGTTCGTCGTGCATGCACTCGCGCGCCCGCGCCCTGCGCCCCCCTGCAACGCGTTTCCGAGGTTGCCATGAGCGCGCCCCGCCCGACGTCCAGAGATGCGCGCGCGGTCCAACAGTTCATTGACATTGTTGGGCCCGTGGCATCTAACCGCTGAGAGGCTGAATCATCTGCGCAGCATTCCAGGGCCGAGCCATAGGGCTCTAAACAACACCGTTGTGAACAGCTGGCAGTCCCGGATGGCAAAACCGACTGAGTCAGCCTCAGGGCGGGCCATCTCGGACCTGGCGGAGATGGAATCCGTTCCCCCGCCCGGCTCGGGCCTGAAGTCCACGACCGCCGCCCATGAGGTGAGCTGTCGCTCATCTCCACGGTTCTCGAATCTGGCGCTCAAGAGAAACATCGCGCGCGTGGCGGGGTCCGCGCGAACGACTTGCATCGAACCACCGCACTTAATGATCTGGGGGGGGATTCGCATCGCAATGGCGCGCGCTACCCCACCCAGACCACGCTGCAGGCATGCAGCTTGTCGTTGTAGAGTCACGCGCGCGCTCGCGACATTCGGCCGCGCATGTACTTCACGAGTAAACTCGAGGAACGATGCTTTCCATGACGGGTCCCAGTATGAGCCCCTTGTCGTGCGATCGCCTCCATAGTTGTGTTTACCACATTGCGCGCATCCTATAGCACGCCCGATGACCGACCACAGAATGCTGAAAGTAACATACTTGGAGAATTCCAAGAGAGGTCTGTGACATCATTGTTGGCGGTCATCGGTGTGCCCATCGCCGTTAGGCGGCGGATTGGCTGTGGAGGCGCGCCCCCATGTTGGCTCAGGAATATGGGGGTCGCGCTTCCGCAAGTTCGTCGTAAAGCGGGATAGAATGGCGCAAAGCAGAGGCGTACACGCTTTTCAAAATAATCAAGCGGATGCCGCCCATAGTAAATGTAGCGCGCCGGCTAAGGGTGATTCCGCCTGCTCGCCAGTAGTCGCGCTCTGACGTCGCAGCGGCGTTGGTGGCGCACCAAGCCGCGCCGTGGGCAAGCATTGCGACAGACAGCGCTGACCACTTCTTAGTGGGGCCGCTCTGCTACCAAGGAAAAAACAGGATGAGGACAATGCGGCGATGGGGTTTGGGATATAGTGTACGACGTCGCATATTCTAGGGGCGTGGTCGAATCCCTCTTCCAATGCGATGGTGAAGAGCCGAATCTTCAGGCAGTGAATGCACATTGGGCGCTGGCGTCATGAGCCAGACGCCGACGGCGCGCTCGCTATGCTCGATGCACGCATGCCCCATCCAAGCCACCCTTCCGGAGATGTACACATCACACTCGCAAGGCGTCCCCAGAACAGGCAAGACGGACCAACACACCCTCGAAACGTCCTCAAGATGCCCACGGACGCCGTCAGCCAGGCCCTACCGCGCTCACATTGATTCAACAAAACGAAATGCGATGTTCTTTGCTCCTGCAACTTTTCCGCTTGAGATCGCATCGGGGAGCTGCGGGAAGCCCCGAGAAGCTCCCGGGACGACCCCGAGACGGCGCCGAAAGGGCACGAAAAGCACCGGAGACGGCCCAAGACCAGCCCAAGAGGGCCCCAAGACAGCCCCCACACCTGTCCAGACATTCCCGCGATGATTCAATCGAGCCTCTAGGACCCAGGAAGAGCTCCGTAGTGTCCGCATAACCTCAGCTAGCGAGTTGTGTATATGCACTTTTGTGTAGTAGCACTTTTCAGCAGTCTCAATGAGCATGATGCGTCGCGAGCAGGTGTTTCACGTGTCTGTACCAATGCCATTTGATGTTCTGGGGCCCCTGAGTCAGGCGCAAGGTTTCGCATATTACGAATTGCTGCGGTTGACAAGATAAGCTGTTCCATCGAAGGCGCCCCGAAAAAGCTTTGCGCGCTGCCATCGGTTGATATTGGTAGCGGAACCGGAGATCCGCATTCTCTGGCTCCCCCGTCGCCACCATGCCAGACGGCGCAGCTCGCGCGCCGCCCCTGGCCACGCCGCCGCCAGGCGGGCCGCCGGCAGCCTCTGCCGCCGCCACCCCCGCCGAGACCGACGCGGAGGGCAGCCGCACCCCGCCGAGCAGCGCGGATGCAGACGAGGCCGACTACGCGGATTGGAACGGCTGGCAAGGCAGGCGGACCCGACAGGAGAGCTCCACCAAGGACGGGGGAGGGCGAAGCAAAGATGCAGGCCTGTCCAAGACGGCGCCGAGCTACGAGCTGTTGAAGACCGACGGCCACAAGGCCTTCCGACGCAAGCTGGACGCCTTCGAGGGGCGCCGCAGGAAGCGCGGCGCCACCGCAGCCAGCGAGGGAGCGCTCTCAATCGCGAGCTCGCTGCAGGGCGAGGTCGCGGGGGCCACGGGCGACATCGACCTGGACATGTCAGGGGCGGAAGAGGCTTGCAGGGAATTGTTCCACGCGCCGATGAGCGCTGCACGTGCGACATCCAAAACGAGCTGCCAGCCCGCGCAGATCTTCGCTTCGGCAAGTTCCCTTGCCGAGAGAAGGAGGCGATGAAGATGCGCTGCCTTCGCCGCGAGAGAGAGCCCAGGAAGCTCAAG